AGATGTTCGGATACTTACTTCACATAGATGTTCGGATACTTACTTCATGAGGTCATTCCATATTTTATAGTCACAAGACAGGTTTGTCACGAGTGGCACACTTAATGGTCAATTTAAAGTCGCCCTAGTGATGGTTCAGTTTTGTGAGTTCACGTGTCAAGCGACACTGGGGCTCAGGGTACGTACCGCGTAAATTCTGAAAATATTGACACTACACTCCTGTGTAAGTGGTAACAACCTTTAACATTTAATTTAGTACTTTTTTTCCCTAGAAGATTAGCAATCATTTTGCTGTTGTTGTTTTAATACCTTGGTTTTATGGCACATACCGATCTACTAGAGAATTATTTCAGTAATGCCGAATAACACTAATGAAGTACAAATGCAACATTGGTTTTTTTGTCCTTAATTGCTTATTCATTTTCACTTAGACATTTTTAAAGACTTAGTAATTTTTCTTATTTTGTGTGTTTGCCTCTATGTACGTACACCATGTGCATGTAGTGCCCATAGGGACCAGAAGAGGGTGTCAGAACTACTGGACCTGGAGTTACAGATGATTGTGAGCCACCATTTGGATATTGAGAATGGGACCCAGGTCCCCTGTAAGAACAGCCAGTGCTCTAACCACTGAGCAACCTATCCAGCCCCACTTATCCACTTTAAATAGGTGTTCACTGCACTGGACACTACAGTGACTGCTGAAACACCACAGGCTCATGGTTCCTTTTTGAGACAGTTGTAAGTGCTCATGATGCTTTCTCAACTCTAGCACACGGATGCATTTTACCATGAGTTCTCTGCTAATAGGTGGTATTCTTTTTCACATATTAACAACCTAAGCTGCTCTAACGGTGTACAAGACAGACAGTACCTATAGGAAACCCAAGGAAGAAGCTACTCAGAACGTTTGAGTACATTGTCTGGAAATTACAGCAATAACAGAAGCAATGGGTGTAAGCAATACTCCGAGCAAACGCTTGCAACTGAAGATCCTCAGAGCCCAGCACGAGATGCCTGAGCCTTCACCTGGCACATTTCCATCATTTCCCAAGGGCACTGAGAAGCTCCGAAGGTCTTGGCTTCACATTACAGCTCTACGGGCCTGGCACAGTACCTTCTCTCTGAAGCTCTGAGTCGTAAGCCTAGCCAGGGAATACTTAATCTCACTGGGCTTTAAAATGAGGACAAAACGAGACGCTATAAAACGCAGGACACACAACCCTTCTAGAATATCGGTCTCGTTCTTCTGTTTCTAAATATTGAAATGAAACTTCAGACATAAAACACATCGGATTTCTGCACAGCAGAAAAAATTATGGGGAAGCCGGAGAACTGTTGTTAACTATCCTCAGACAAGGAGTTAGTGTCCAGAACACGTGAAGACCTGCAAAAATTCAACACCCCAAACCCCAAACTTCTGAACAGTAAATAAGCCAGTGACCTCGGTTGACAGTTCACATGAGAAGAAAAGCAAGTGGCTAGTAAGTATTTGTAAAAGTGTTCATCGCACAGCAGAAATGGTGATCTGCCCTTGAGTCAGTGCCACCAACAGTGTGTCATGGGGGGAGGGGATGAAGCCCCACACCTCCCTGAAGAACTATAGGCTCATGGCTGCTGGAGGACGGGGTCTGATTCCTGGGAAGTGTTGCCCTTGCAGGAGTAAATGACACCCCAATCAAGTTCACATGTGCAAATCAAAGTAAATGCAGTGGGGCACAGACAGACAGACAGACATAGTCAGACATGAGCCCAGGAAGGGGACTTGGTGGGAACAGGCTGACAATAAAGACCCGAATCAAAATCAGTCACATATATGCATAAAATTGAAAAACTTTAAAACGTGTTCAACATCCTTGAACACTTGAGGAGACTACCTAGAGCAGCCACCACACTCCAGTGAGGACAGCTGTCACTAGGAAAACTGAGGAGGAGAGGGCACAGGGTGAGGGCGTGGGGCTGAGGGCATGGGGAGAGAAGAACGCTCAGGCGTGGCAGGAACAGACACTGGTGCGTGCCTATGGAAACCAGGGTGGAGGCTTCTGCTGTGGAAGGGAGGCGATCCCTGAGGCAGAGGGAAAAACACTTTTCTTCAGTGGTCTAACCTCCGGTAAGGTGTCCCTGCTCCTGTAAATACCTCCCCTCCAACACATCACATTTGTGTAAAAAACCCTAATGAAAATCCTGAGTCTCCTCTTCTTCTTCATCCCTATCTTCTCTTCTTCCTCGACTTCTTCCTCCTT